TATTATTCCTCTCTCTGGATATAGACCCGTGAAGATTCCGGGGTAGAATAGGTCTTCAGCAACCCATGCTTGCCGTAAAAGGTGACTAACGGGATCGGGTGGTCTGGCCCGCTGACTTAGTTGATGCATGTCATGGATCCCAATTGCGTGGATCGATACGCATGATATTAATCACTGGATTGTCTGGTCCAGACTCGATTATTTACAGACTGCCGTCATATAGCTGGAATATTGCTGAATGCGGCGTTAAACAACAAACCAACCTACTTTGTGGATATAGGATATGTATAACTGCCTGATATTATACATATAACTTTTGTCGGTTGTAATTACGATTTTTGCATTTTGTTTTTATCCATTAACTGCAGCAGAAACCGAGGAGGCCTCAGCGGTGACTGGTCATTTTTTTTTCATACGTAAAACTTACCCGCCAATAACGTCCAGCTGTACAAAAGTGATTATGGTTAATATTATCTTAATTAGTAAAACTTGCAACTAAAAATACGGTATTTTGGAAAAATATCATTTCTGATCAAATAAAAATTTCAGAGTACAAGTATTCCGATCATTGCATCAAAATCCTTTCAAGTTATATGTTTTGGGGGGTATTATTAACCGAATCACGGGTAGATTGGTAGAAAATGTACAGCTAGGTGATATTTCCGGTTTAGTTAATGGGAAAAACACAGGGCAAACCTAATTTCTGCAAATAAAAAAATGTCCAGCAGAAGAGAAAAGACAATTTAAATGGTAAATCGTCAAGTCTGGAAGTAATTTATCTCAAGTTTCATTGACCAAAATTTTTTATCACCTATTTACGCTGAATTCGCTGAAGGGACTTGATGTAGTTTTTAACTGTGCAAAAGAGGATGTTTCCCTATTAAGTCGTATATCAGGCCCTCCTATGAATATGAATGAATAATGCCCCTTCCATACAGATTATCCATGATCAGCAATAATATAGTTCAGTAATGTATTTTGTATGCATTATCGATGTATTTTAATGGGAGTCGATTGGAAAACGTATCAGTCATAGAGCTAGATAAATTACTTCACCCATAATTTCATTCATTGTTTACGTCTAAGAACTCAATATCTTGTAATTGCCCAATAATTGGTGATACAATACGGCTTATAACAAAATTATGTCAGTCAACGCCAACAGTAAGGAATTCTTCTGTGGCTGATTGGCACTTAAGCAATAATTTTAATTTATATGTATTTTATTAACATACCATTACGAGATCCCGATGCGTTTGTTTTGGCTACCACACAGTTGCCAAGTTGCTGGGATCTGTTTGGCGATGGGCGAGATGTCAGGCATCTTCAGCGTGGTCGGAGACCATGCCTGACTACTGCACATTTAATAATCTGTGATACTGACCCTGAAACAAATATATCCAAAAAAAGCCCAAGCAAGTCTATATTAGTAGGCAAGTCTAGATTACTGCAGTATCAGGAAATGACGAGAGTATCTTTGCTCCTTTTTATTATATTTTCTATGAACAGAACTTAACAACTGTTCGACTAGATGTTAGTCTAGCCATATATTTGCTATAACTGATTTAAGAAAACACGTCTTCTACTTTTAGATAACAGATTCTGATGCTCAATGCCATGAATTTTATGCTTAAAAATGTTAAAGTCAAGAATTCGAGTCAGACAAACCAAAAGAAACTACTTAGCTTATCGCTTATTGGTGTATCTCCGCAATGTCCCTCACGCTGTCTGTTTCCGGAAGAAAGTGTTCTTATGTAAGTGAGATCGGCTTCTGACGGATACAGCCGAAGTTATTCCGCTTCATTTGACCTAGTTTCCCATAGAAGCTGTGCACATATTTCGCTAATGACCGCTGTCAAATCCGATAGTGTTCTTTTTCATTCGCATAATTAATGCATTCGGTTCCAATTCAGGAGCTACCAATGCGCCTTCATTTTAACCCATTCAACGTTTTTATTCCAAATGCTTAGAGTGAGTGAGTGAGTGAGTGAGTTGGGTTTAACGCCGCTTATAACATTATTCCAGTCATATCACGGCGTGTCAGCTTAAATGTGGGAGGAAAGCCCGAAGTGATGCATGCAGGTCTCAGACGTTTACCACTTTGGTGAAACCGACAAGCACGGGTATGGTGCTGACAAACCTAGAAACATAATCGGGGCGAACCGGGATTCGAACCCACAATCATAGGTTTCTTGTGTGCCCAAGGGACGCAACTCTGCACATCGAATCGCGGCGCCTTAGACGACTCGGCCACCCGTGCCCCCTATCCGCGGTCGAATTCAGCTAACATTGTAAGTAATCATGTAAAAAAGACAGCTCTAAATATATAAAAATACATGGTCAGTTTTAATTAATGGATTGATGTACATTTAAACGAAAACATACAAAATTACAGCTGCCATGTGATTCATTCTGCACTGAAGGCTGCGAAAACTGCTTGTGATTTGGTATGTTTGAACCTGTATGTAGCGCGCAAAGCCGGGAAGTCATACACAAAGGCAACACTCAAATTTAAGTGACAGTACGGCAAAGATTACAAAATGACTTCGCGAATGATATCCATGGTAGATCATTTCATAACGGCTGCTTATGGAGTGGTGTCTCGTTTGACAGTGATCCATTTATCCATTTAACCGCACTGACCCAATCCCTAGTTTTCTCTCCTGGAGACCAGCCTTTGGCTCCTCTTGCGCCGCACTGATACAGGCAATTCCATAACGGCGGCCTCCATGAGACAAAGAAAAATGGCCTAGCCTAATAGCCTAATGGTTAAAGCGTTCGCTCGTCACGCCGAAGACCTGGGTTCGATTCCCGACATGGGTACAATGTGTGAAGCCCATTTCTTGTGTCCCCCGCCGTGATGTTGCTGGAATATTCCAAAAAGCGGCGTAAAACCATACTGACTCACTGTTTATAAATGGACTGGACTGTGACGTCGTTTGAGGGCGCTAATATAACCTTATAATGGTGTACTTAGAAATCAGAAGACATGAAAAGGCACATGGCGATTCACTGTGGAATCAAGCCTCACCAGTGCACTGTTTGTAAGAAAACATTATCAGGTCATCTGCAGAAACATAATTTTTTTATTTTTTTATGCTGATTCACACAGGAGTCAAACCTTATCAATGTGTAGAATGTGGGAAAGGGTTCACACAGTCAGGCAGCCTGCAGAAACACATGAATGTACACAGTAGAAGCAACCCTTATAAGTGTGTAGAATGTGGGAAAGGGCTCACACAGTCAGGTAGCCTGCAGAAACACATGATGATTTATAGTGTTTATAAATTGACTGGACTGTGACGTCACACAATTCGCGAAAAATCGCGTTGAATATGGCCGTTTGAGGGCGCTAATATAACCTTATAATGGTATACTTAGAAATACTAAATAGTGTACGAAATGTGTCATTTTTCTGGGTATGAATATTCCACTGGTACGAAATGTCTGGTGTTTTCCCGCAGTACTAATTCGTTTGGGGTATGAATTTACCACAAACAGCTATTATCAGTGTGTTAAATGTGGGAAAAACATGAACAAAATCAGGTCTTACATCATGATCCATAACACATCACCAACTTGTGTATAGTTTGTTTGTTGTTTAACGCCGCACTCAGCAATATTCCAGCTATATGACGGCGGTCTGTAAATAATCGAGTATGGACCAGACAATCCAGTGATTAATATCATGGGCATCGATCGATCCACGCTATTGGGATCCATGACATGCATCAACCAAGTCAGCGAACCTGACCACCCGAACCCGTTAGTCGCCTTTTACGGCAAACATGGGTTGCTGAAGACCTATTATACCCCGGATCTTCACGGGTCTCAGCCCTCGTTATTGTTGGTGTTCTTGTGGAAACATCTTTTGAAAATGCATTATCATGATAAAAGACAACTCTTTTGTTTTCAGTGAACACCATAACATCCACAAGTTAACAATGGAAGTACAAAGCCAACCACAGAATTCTGGTTCTGTTTCTGAAACATGTGTAGTCAGTGACTGTGAGAGAGAATTGCTGGAAATTACTGACACTCAGGAAATAGGTGATCTCAAGGAACACAAAGATTGTGGTGGTCCAGAAGATCAGTCAACGTGTAGTGGATGCGGGAAAACATTTATTAAATCAGAAGACATGAAAAGGCACATGGCGATTCACTGTGGAATCAAGCCTCACCAGTGCACTGTTTGTAAGAAAACATTATCAGGTCATCTGCAGAAACATATGCTGATTCACACTGGAGTCAAACCTTATCAGTGTGTAGAATGTGGGAAAGGGTTCACACAGTCAGGTAGCCTGCAGAAACACATGATGATTCATAGTGGAATCAAGTCTCATCAGTGCATCGTGTGTGAGAAAACATTTACATTATCATTTCATCTGCAGAAACATATGCTGATTCACACTGGAATCAAACCTTATCAGTGTGTAGAATGTGGGAAAGGGTTCACACAGTCAGGCAGCCTGCAGAAACACATGAACGTACACAGTAGAAGCAACCCTTATCAATGTGTTGAATGTGGTAAAAGGTTAAGAGGTTCAGGACATCTGCGGGCACACATGAGGATTCACACTGGAATTAAGCCTTATCCGTGCATTGTGTGTGAGAAAACATTTACACAATCGGGTCAGCTGCAGTCACACATGAGGATTCACACTGGAATCAAACCTTATCAGTGTGTTGAATGTGGGAAGGAATTTACATGATCAAATTACCTGCAGATACACTTGAGGATTCACAGTGGAGTCAAGCCTAATCAGTGTAATATATGTGAGAAAACATTTACACGATTAAGTACTCTGAAGAATCACATCAGGATTCACACTGGAATCAAACCTTATCAGTGTGTTGAATGTGGGAAGGGATTTACACGATCAAATACCCTGCAGAAACAATTGAGGATTCACAGTGGACTCAGACCTTATCAGTGTAATGTATGTGAGAAAACATTTACACGATTAAGTACTCTGAAGAATCACATGGCGATACACACTGGAATCAGACCTTATCAGTGTGTTGAATGTGGAAAAGAATTTACAGTATCAAGTAACATGAAGAAACACATGAGGATTCACAGTGGAGTCAAGCCCTATCCGTGTAATATATGTCAGAAATCATTTACACGATGTGGTACTCTGGAGAGGCACATGGCGATTCACAGTGGACTCAGACCGTATCAGTGTGTTGAATGTGGGAAAGCATTTAGACATTCATATCACCTGAAGACACACATGATGATTCACAGTGGAATCAAGCCTCATCAGTGTGTTGAATGCGGGAAAACATTTGCACAATCAAGTAATCTGCAGAAACACATCAGAATTCACAGTGAAGTCAAGCCTTATCCGTGTAATATATGTCAGAAATCATTTACACGATCAGGTACCTTGGAGAGGCACATGGCGATTCACAGTGGACTCAGACCGTATCAGTGTGTTGAATGTAGGAAAGCATTTAGACATTCATATCACCTGAAGACACACATGATGATTCACAGTGGAATCAAGCCTCATCAGTGTGTTGAATGCGGGAAAACATTTGCACAATCAAGTAATCTTCAGAAACACATCAGAATTCACAGTGAAGTCAAGCCTTATCAGTGTAATATATGTGAGAAAACATTTACAGTATCAGGTACTCTGAAGAATCACATGGCGATTCACACTGGAATGAGACCTCATCAGTGTGTTGAATGCGGGAAAGCATTTGCACAATCAGGTAACCTGAAGACACACATGATGATTCACAGTGGAATCAAGCCTTATCAGTGTGTTGTGTGTGATAAGTGGTTCACACACTCAAGTAGCCTGCAGAAACACATGACCATTCATAGTGCTAGCAAGCCGTATCAGTGTGATGTGTGTGGTAAAGCGTTTACATACTCAAATAGCCTGAAGCGACACCTGACCATTCATAGTGGAAGCAAGCCTTAGCAGTGTGTTCGATGTGGGAAAATATTTTGACACTCAGGTACTCTGCATACACAAGTGATGATTCACAATGGAATCAAACCTTTACGAGTGCATTGTTTGTGAGAAAGGATTGACACACTCAGGTAATCTGCAGAAACACAAGGATTCGCCGTGGAATCCAACTTATCAGTGTGTTCAATGAAGCGAGGGATGTAACATCACACGTTTCATAGTTCTGGAATAAAGGTTTACAAAGTTCATATTCTTGCTGCGTAGGGGATATTTAAATCCAATGCTATCTATCTCGGCCGTTAATAATCCTCTGGCCATGTAGTGACCACATGTTTACACCACGTGCTCTTGGACAGGGAGGGGGCACGGGTGGCCCAGTGGTCTAAGGCGCCGCGATTCACTGTGCAGAGTTGCGCCCCTTGAGCTTGCCAGAAACCTATGACTGTGGGTTCGAATCCCGGTTCGCCCCAATTATGTTTCTAGGTTTGTCAGCACCATACCCGTGCTCGTGGGTTTCACCGAAGTGGTAAACGCCTGAGACCTGCATCACTTCGGGCTTTCCTCCCACATTAAGCTGACACGCCGCGATATAACTGGAATATTGTTAAATGCGGCGTTAAACCCAACTCACTCACTCACTCTGAAACCACCTCCGTATTTAAGGGGTGGCAGGGCTTTGCCCGTTGACCTTGAGGCCCAGAGTTTGCCTCGTGGAGGACGTAAGCAAGTTCATATTCTTGCTGCGAAGGGGATATTTAAATCCAATGCTATCTATCTCGGTCGTTAATAATCCTCTGGCCATGTAGTGACCACATGTTTACACCACGTGTTCTTGGACAGGGATAAATCAAAGGCTATCTTATCTTCCTTACATGTAGTCATACAGCAACTCTGTATGTTTCAGAGTTGACCAGTAATTAGCCTGTCCAGAACAAGACAATAAACTAACTGTCATCGTCTACAACCCTGCTTTGACAAACAAGGTAGTTAGCCTGTTTAATTAGTGTGCTGATTGTTCTTATACACCACTAGACTCTTGGTCAAAAAAAGGCAATTAACATATTTGCTGTGACCTGCAACCCGTGCCCACTTAAATTATTACTGAACCATTGTGACAAGTTCACGTAACATTAACCCGTGAAGATCCGGGGTAGAATAGGTCTCCAGCAACCCGTGCTTGCCGTAAAAGGCGACTATGCTTGTCGTAAGAGGCGACAAACGGGATCGGGTGGTCAGGATTTGGTTGACGCATGTCATCGTGTCCCAATTGCGTGGATCGATGCTCATGATGTCAATCTCTGGATTGTCTGTTCCAGCCTCAATAATTTACAGACCGCCGTCATATAGCTGGACTATTGCTGAGTGAGGCGTTAAACAACAAACAAATAAACAAAAAATAACCACATTTTCAGTGAGACATTTTCCATTGAGTGTGAATAAGTTTTCATGGAACCATAAATTCTTTGTATGGATTAATGTTACACTTCAAAAGTGTATCGTACGGCTGCAAAGTACGACAACACGGGGATGCCACTGTATGCTGTGGTCTAGTGGCCGGATGCAGATAGATATCCCTGACCGCTAACCTCATCCGGTCACCGGGCGGTCACCCACAGATCACCCAGGGACTCCAGCGACCTACATACATACATACATTAATATATTGTGTCTATCAACATGCACTACACGTTCTTGACTCTACGTCCCCTACGTCGTTACACAATACAATGGCATTTATACAAAACAGTTATTTCAATATAAAACACGTAATTAATTTATATATAATACTTATCACTCACTTCTGTATACAATACGATGCTTGTCGTAAGAGGAGACAAACGGGATCGGATGGTAAGGCGCGCTGATTTGGTAGATGCATGTCATCGTGTCCCAATTGCGTGGATCGATGCTCATGATATCAATCACTGGATTGTCTGGTAAAGACTAGATTATTTACAGACCGCCGTCATATAGCTGGAATATTGAGTGCAGCGTTAAACAACAAACAAACAAACAAACAAACAAACAAACAAACTAACAAACAAACGAAACTTAATATTTTAAAAAAACAATACAATATTTATCAATACGATATATGTAGCATTTATGAATTTGGAGGCAAGAGTTATCGGAACTAAAACAAACATAAAGCACATCAAATAAAGCTAACTGGTAGATAAATTCATACATAAGATATTTATGATGTTGAAGAGTATGGTTTACGCCGCTTTTTGCAATACCCCGGGGTGGGGGGGGGGTTGGGTGGGGGGGGGGGGGGGGGGGGGGGGGGGCTTTATACATTGTTCACATGAACGGAATCGAACCCGGGTCTTCGGCTTGACGAGCGAACCCTTTCACCACCAGGCTACCCTACCGCCCCTTTATGATATTGGTGGCAATATGTATCTCAACTAAAACTCAAGCAAATGAAATAAAGTTAATTTAAAAATAAACGACGATTAGCAGTTGTACAATAAAACACTGCAGGGAGAATAAACCGCCAGTCGATTATTTCTTACATGAGATATCAATATTATGTTCAGCCTCTTTAAGGATGTTACTAAACCGTACAAACTTGAAATATATTTACCCGTATTTACATAATGATGACTCCCTGAATGGAATCCGACCTCGGCAATGTCGGACAAGTCCATTTTGCGAACAGGTGGGATAAGTTTGGTATTTCCCGCATATTCTCACATTCCTAACGTCAGTTGTCTAATACCGATTGTCATATCTCTTCCACTTTTTGATGCGATCGTTCGACCCCTGAGTTTATCTGCGTAACCTAGCTAAGAAAATATGAATCATATATTGATGGGTTTATCAATTTGAAACATCAATGCACCTTAATGAAAACTAAATAAGTTCTTTACAAACTTCATTAAAGCAAGAGATGCGAGTACAATGAATGTTACCACAAAAAAAATAAAAATAAATAGGAATATTAATACCATTACCATTTCTACTCTTTTTTTCAGTATTTGTCATAAAAACACAAATCCGCATAGAAATAGGTGTTCGATTAACTAAGTTATAGAAAAACAGACCGGTCCCCTGCCTCTACCGAGGTGGTCGGTGGGGTAGCCTGGTGGTGAAGGGGTTCGCTCGTCACGCCCAATACCAAGGTTCTATTCCCCACATGGGTACAATGTGTGAAGTTCATTTCTGGTGTCCTCCGACGTGATATTGCAGGAATAGTGCTAAAAGCGGCGTAAAACTATACTCACTCACTCGCTGTTGAGGCAGAGCCCATATTAGGTACATATGTATATCGTCTCTGGTTGAACGAAGGACAGGATGTTTTCTTAAAATAGCAACACAATCCCACCAGCGCTCGTCATAACGTGCAGCAAGCAAAGCCGGGAGGTCGTACACAGGCAGCAATCGAATGTAAGTATTGACAAGATTACAATATTACATGGCTTCGAAGTTACATCATTTGACAGCGTCTGCTTAGAGAAATGCGTCTCCTTTCTTTGTGATCGTGGCTATTTATCCATTTTAACTCACTATCCCCTGTGTTTCTCTCCTGGAGACCTGGTTGTCTAGGTAGGCAGCGCGTTCGCTTCAGTGATACAGCCACGACTCAACAATGGCGGCTTCCATTCGATATGGACACGTGGCGCACGCTTTATCAGCTGTTTATGTATTTACTACGGAAAGACGCTAGAACGGGAGCTTAGAAAATGTCCGTGGCATCATGAATACTGTTGCAACGTGTATGTCAGGAGAATAACGTCCATTTTTACTTATATTATAAATAAAGGGAAACTACACTCTGGCTTCTATCCGACTGCCTCACACCACCAGCTAAGGCTCATATTTTTACCCGCAGTGAAAACATGTTCGGATTTCTGAATGCGTGGATTATAAGATGAGAGATTGTTTGTTTTTTTGTTTACCGCTGCACGCAGCAAAATTCCAGCTATACGACGGCGGTCTGTAAATAATCGTGGCTGGGCCAGATAATCCAGTGATTGACATCATGAGCATCGATCCACGCAACTGTAATACGATGACATGCATCAACCAAGTCAGCGAGCCTGACCACCCGATCCCGTTAGTCGGCTCCTACGACAAGCTTAGTCGCATTTTACATATAGGTGACATATTGATTTGGATACCATTTCTGTATTTTATAGGTTGATCTTTAATAATATCACGTTATAATATCATGTCAACAGACCCATACTATTAAAAAGAACAATTTGATTTATTGGAAGCCGCAATTAAAACCCCATTTTCCCATTCCATGGGTTTTGTATACTATCGACTGTCGGATGCTGAAGGAACAAGAAGATAAAGTCATCAATATAATCAGATAGAATTAGTGGTAGAGCCACTCAGATTGTCTGGCAAAGACTGCCAAATTACTCAATAACGTTCATCCCTGCCTCTGGGGGTGTAGAGGATATACAGTGAGTGAGTGAGTATGGTTTTACGCCGCTTTTAGCAATATTCCAGCAATATCACGGCGGGGGACACCAGGAATGGGCTTCACACATTGTACCCATGTCGAGAAACGAACCCGGGTCTTCAGCGTGACGAGCGAACGCTTTAACCACGAGGCTACCCGACCGCCCCAGAGGATATATAGCAATCAGCGGTTCCCTTTTGGCATTTCTTGTGTCTGGGGTAATTACTCAATAGAAGACTGGGTTATAAATCCAGTCTGATACGGTGAATGGACTACATGTTAAGTAATAACCATGGCAACACAGTAAGAGAAGAATGATCAGTTGAGTTGCTAAAAAAACATCGATCAAAGGATTAACCGATAATTTGATTGATAAATCAATGTTATCTTGCGGAGTAGATTTGTCAAAAGTTAGTGTTCATGTACGTAGGTTTACTAAAGCAGACGAAATACACCCATATCTGGGCGTGAAGTGCTTATGTCAAAACAACATACTTTGGTCAAAGGATTAGCCGATAGTACGTTGATTGATTGATCATTTGGATTTTTTAAAGAACCATGGACATCAAAAACATAGTTGTCACGTGTGCTATCTCAGCTGACCAATGAGACTTGACGCCTATGTGAAACACCTGAAACAAACTTACGTGGTCATTTGAGAAACGAAAACAAATTGAGATACCCCAAAAGGCTCTATATATCGATATGTATCAAAATATTAGATTGTCACAAAGACACGTGACATCGAACAAGTTTCTTTGTACAGCTTGATATGTATGGGATGTTATAGACCATCATCTAGTCTCTGAAATGATCATATCGTACAGGAAAAAAAATAGTTGTTCAATTATCTTAACAAAAAGATAATAAAAGGGAGCCCAGAGACTCTCTTCATTTGATACTGCAGTAATCTAGACTTGCCAAACATTATAGACTTGCATGGGCTATATTTGATATGTAAGACAGACTAGGGATATTTTTCCTCTCTCTGGATATAGACCCGTGAAGGTTCCGGGGTAGAATAGGTCTTCAGCAACCCATGCTTGCCGTAAAAGGTGACTAACGGGATCGGGTGGTCTGGCCCGCTGACTTAGTTGATGCATGTCATGGATCCCAATTGCGTGGATCGATGCTCATGATATTAATCACTGGATTGTCTGGTCCAGACTCGATTATTTACAGACTGCCGTCATGTAGCTGGAATATTGCTGAATGCGGCGTTAAACAACAAACCAACCTACTTTGTGGATATAGGATATGTATAACTGCCTGATATTATACATATAGCTTTTGTTGGTTGTATTTACGATTTCTGCATTTTGTTTTTATCCATTAACTGCAGCAGAAACCGAGGAGGCCTCAGCGGTGACTGGTCATTTTTTTTTCATACGTAAAACTTACCCGCCAATAACGTCCAGCTGTACAAAAGTGATTATGGTTATTATTATCTTAATTAGTAAAACTTGCAACTAAAAATACGGTATTTTGGAAAATATCATTTCTGATAAAATAAAAATTTCAGAGTACAAGTATTCCGAACATTGCATCAAAATCCTTTCAAGTTATACGTTTTAGGGGGTATTATTAACCGAATCACGGGTAGATTGGTAGAAAATGTACAGCAAGGTGTTATTTCCGGTTTAGTTAATGGGAAAAACACACGGCAAACCTAATTTCTGCAAATAAAAAAATGTCCAGCAGAAGAGAAAAGACAATTTAAATGGTAAATCGTCAAGTCTGGAAGTAATTTATCTCAAGTTTCATTGATCAAAAAAAATTTATCACCTGTTTACGCTGAATTCGCTGAAGGGACTTGATGTAGTTTTTCACTGTGCAAAAAATGATGTTTCCCTTAGAAGTCGTATATCAGGCCCTCCTATGAATATGAATGAATAATGCCCCTTCCATACAGATTATCCATGATCAGCAATAATATAGTTCAGTAATGTATTTTGTATGCATTATCGATGTATTTTGATGGGAGTCGATTGGAAAACGTATCAGTCATAGAGCTAGATAAATTACTTCGCCCATAATTTCATTCATTGTTTACGTCTAAGAACTCAATATGTTGTATTTGCCTAATAATTGGTGATACTATACGGCTTATAACAAAATTATGTCAGTCAACGCCAATCGTAAGGAATTCTTCTGTGGCTGATTGGCACTTAAGCAATAATATTAATTTATAAGTACAGTAAACTACGGTTATAATGAACACGCTTATAACGAACTGACGGATATAACGAACTTACTTTTTTGGTCCCGACTATTTGCTGTAGTTATGCTGTATATATGCTTATAACGAACTACGGTTATAACGAACTAAAATTAGTAGTCCCTTTGAGTTCGTTATAACCGTACTTTACTGTATTTTATTAACATACCATTACGAGATCCCGATGCGTTTGTTTTGGCTACCACACAGTTGACAAGACTGCTGGGATCTGTTTGGGGATGGGCGAGATGTCAGGCATCTTCAGCGTGGTCGGAGACCATGCCTGACTACTGCCCATTTAATAATCTGTGATACTGACCCTGAAACAAATATATCCAAAAAAAGCCCAAGCAAGTCTATATTAGTAGGCAAGTCTAGATTACTGCAGTATCAGGAAATGACGAGAGTATCTTTGCTCCTTTTTATTATATTTTCTATGAACAGAACTTAACAACTGTTTGACTAGATGTTAGTCTACCCATATATTTGCTATAACTGATTTAAGAAAAAACGTCTTCTACTTTTAGATAACAGATTCTGATGCTCAATGCCATGAATTTTATGCTTAAAAATGTTAAAGTCAAGAATTCGAGTCAGACAAACCAAAAGAAACTACTTAGCTTATCGCTTATTGGTGTATCTCCGCAATGTCCCTCACGCTGTCTGTTTCCGGAAGAAAGTGTTCTTATGTAAGTGAGATCGGCTTCTGACGGATACAGCCGAAGTTATTCCGCTGCATTTGACCTAGTTTCCCATAGAAGCTGTGCACATATTTCGCTAATGACCGCTGTCAAATCCGATAGTGTTCTTTTTCATTCGCATAATTAATGCATTCTGTTCCAATTCAGGAGCTACCAATGCGCCTTCATTTTAACCCATTCAACGTTTTTATTCCAAATGCTTAGAGTGAGTGAGTGAGTGAGTTGGGTTTAACGCCGCTTATAACATTATTCCAGTCATATCACGGCGTGTCAGCTTAATGTGGGAGGAAAGCCCGAAGTGATGCAGGTCTCAGACGTTTACCACTTTGGTGAAACCCACGAGCACGGGTATGGTGCTGACAAACCTAGAAACATAATCGGGGCGAACCGGGATTCGAACCAACAATCATAGGTTTCTGGCGTGCCCAAGGGACGCAACTCTGCACAGCGAATCGCGGCGCCTTAGACGACTGGGCCACCCGTGCCCCCTATCCGCGGTCGAATTCAGCTAACATTGTAAGTTATCATGTAAAAAAACCAGCTCTAAATATATAAAAATACATGGTCAGTTTTAATTAATGGATTGATGTACATTTAAAACAAAACATACAAAATTACAGCTGCCATGTGATTCATTCTGCACTGAAGGCTGCGAAAACTGCTTGTGATTTGGTATGTTTGAACCTGTATGTAGCTCGCAAAGCCGGGAAGTCATACACAAAGGCAACACTCAAATTTAAGTGACAGTCATCTGCAGAAACATAATTTTTTTTTTTATGCTGATTCACACAGGAGTCAAACCTTATCAGTGTGTAGAATGTGGGAAAGGGTTCACACAGTCAGGCAGCCTGCAGAAACACATGAATGTACACAGTAGAAGCAACCCTTATCAGTGTGTAGAATGTGGGAAAGGGTTCACACAGTCAGGCAGCCTGCAGAAACACATGAATGTACACAGTAGAAGCAACCCTTATCAGTGTGTAGAATGTGGGAAAGGGTTCACACAGTCAGGTAGCCTGCAGAAACACATGAATGTACACAGTAGAAGCAACCC